TTTAAAATTTTCTTCTTTTAAAAGCCCTAAAATTCTTCCTTCAAATGAAATGTTACCAAAAAGTATAATCAAATGCAATACATAAAAACGGAGCTGTCATAATTGAAGCAAGGCTAGAATCTTATGAGTTTGGTCCCATTCTCTCCTAACCTACCTCCCAGACTGCAGGGCACTCTTGGAGCACAGTGTGAACACAAGGGACTTCAAGACCCCTGTGCTATCCTGAGGTGCCTAAACTTATGAAAATGCCTGTATCTCTAGAAGTGGGCCCCTTGGCCAGCCATGCAAGGGTAACGTGGTGAAGCCGGGCCATGGCTGAAGGCCTGTGACATGGCAGGGGGGCCCAGTGGAGATAAAAGGCACCAAGTTGGGAGCTAAGGCCCCTGCGTGCTGGACTTGGCCCCTGTACTGGCCAGCTGTGACCCTGCCCACTTTATAGCTGCTGCCTGCCCATAAGCCAGGGCCCCACTCCCACCCGCAGCGAGACTCAGCCATCTAAGACACTTGGACAGAGAGCAGTTTAAAGCACCTAAGCCCCCAAACATAGTTATTTAATTTCAAACTCATTAAGTTTTTTCCCTGGATGACTTTAGGGCTTCACGAAGCTAGCTAACGCATTAACTTTCTAAAATAAACATGCTGTGCTTTGTAAGAGTAACAGTCTCAAGAAGTGAGTAGCCGTCTACGACTGTATTTTGCAAGGAGAAGCCGCTTGAAAAAACACCAGACACTCTGCGAGGCACTGGGGACACACACTCCCTATTTGATACAGAGAAAACCAAGTAACAGTCTTAAATTACTTATGTTTAAAAATCAATTTGTACACAAATAATGTGTCAGCACCACATTACTAAATTGTCATTTTACGTGGATTAAAACATTAAAAGACAGAAGCAAATATGTTGCATTGGAGTATAGTATCAATTATCAATGCAATAAAATCTCTAATATGTCTGTTGGAAAAGATTAGATTTCCCAACAAATGCCAGAAAAAAAGGAATGTTCTCAAAGCAGATACCAATAAAGAAGATTCTAACATTCTATCCAAACAAAACACCACTTGTTGCTTGTCACATGGACTTTGACGCAAGGCAACACTGCTCCCCGGGCATGGGGCAGCAGAGTGACAGCGGCAGGACCCACCTCAGCACCACGACGATGGGGCTCTCACTGCCGGTGAGGACGATCAAGCCCTTCCAGATCATGAGCGCAGAAGACACAATCATGGCGAAGTTTAAAACCTGGTAATAGAGCTGGAACGAAAAGGCCAAACAAAAGTGACAACCAGTGGCAGAACATTCATGAACCCTAAGCTGGAGGTGGGCTTGTTTTAAAAAAAACTAAGTTATGATATTAGGACATGAATTCACACCAACTATAAAATTACATAGTACTTCAACTTCTGTCCATGGATGAGCCTTCCATAGACCGTCTCTCCTGCAATGAGAGATAAGGGAGAAAAAACCCAGAGCAACCTGTGGGACCTGCTCTCTTCAAGCCTCGATAAGACTCCACTTACCTGCCCAGGACTTCCCAGGGCCTTCAACCCTGCAGGGCGCTGCTTCCCAAGACCTACCACCAGGGCCTCCCATCTAGGGCAGAGACAGGTCCGACCCGAGGGCCTGGCATGTGCAGTGCGGGCCTCCTAGAGTAATCGCTCCTCAGCCCCCTGGCGAGGGGCCCCAGATGAGGCTCCAGCGCCCACAGTCCTGAGCACTGAGGTATCTAAAATGCATCTGACCGTACAAAACTTTAAACACCTGCATGTTCAGATTTTCTATAATGTTTTAGAAAGCAAACAAACAACTATTTGGTTAAGTACACAGGCTCAAGACCACGCAAACAAGTCAATATCTAATTCGAAGCTGACCTCGCGCGACTTCAGACCACGGAGTTAGGACCACAGGGCTTGACCTCATCCCTCCCTGCACCTCGCATGCTGAGGCACAAAGCTCTTCCTCGGGGACAGCAGCCTGCCACTCCCACCAACCCCTGGGGACAAAGGGGAAAAGCTACACCGGCCCACATCACAGCACCTGCTGGGCTGTAGCTGGATCATTAGCCCAGATGTCTCCAGTTCTCCAAGAGACGGCAGGACAAAAGCCACTGTGGCTAGTACCACTTGAACGGTAAGCCTCTCGGGGCCTCTGCCCCCACTGTCCTCCAGGGGGGGTCCTCACTCTGGCACCTGCTCAGTCCTCCCCTTCACAACCCCTGCCACTGCCCTGGGTGATTTGAAGAGCCATGCGGATGGCCCACCCAACACTCTAGAGTCTCAATCCCCAGACCTCATCTCCGACCACCCTCTCCCTCCATTCTCAGCAACATGCCTGGCACTGAAACTGCTCAGTGCCCACGTCTCTCATTGAATGCTCCCTCCCCGCCTGATGGCATATGCCTGTTCTGGCTGTGCCCACACCCGGCAGGGCTCTTGCTCTTCCAGGACCTCCACCCTTTCACTTGTGCCTGTCCGTCAGCGGCATGCGGCATGCAATCCCTGGCACCCTCGACTAGGCTTGGCAGCCCTTATCCGGGACCTTCCATTTGCCCAGGGCAAGAGACTGCTAACCGTTCAATGTGATACCCACTCACTCCACTTCCAATGTGTTATTCACACAACACTCAGCACTCATCTTCAAACGCACCTGTGGTCACCTCTATGCCCTCTTAGAGCTCTCTGATTGCATCCCCTGCGCTGAGGATGACTACGGTCTCTAAGGCCCTGTCTGATACACCCCCGACTCTAGTCAAGGCTGGTGAAGCTCACTGCACTCCAGCTACAGTGATAGGATCTGTCAGGGCTTCAAAGGGCACATGCTCCTGTCCACTCCAGGACCCTGACCTGGTTATTTCCTCTGCCCAGAAGGCTCTCTCCCAAGACACCTCAGCATACCTAACACTCACTCACGTCATACTTCAAAAGTCAGTTCCCAAGAGAAGCCTTCCCTGACCCACTAGACCAGGAGTCAACAAACTTATTCTGTAAAAGGCCAAATAATACATATTTTAGGTTTATGGACCACCTAGTCTCTACTGAAATGACTCAGCTCTGCAATTGCAGCGGGAAAGCAGCTATAGATGTTACATAAAAGAATGAATATGGCCGTGTTCCAATAAAACTTTATGAAACAGGTGGTGGACTGGGGTTTGCCAACCTCTGCTGTACACCAGCCTAGGTATATTTGTTATATATACTCAGTGCATCCTCACATTAGATTGTAAGTTCCACAGTGGAAAGGCTCATTTTGGCCTTGTTCACAGCTGTTTGCCCAAGCTTAACACAAGTCTGACAAAAATTAAGTACTCAATTTGTAGAATAAATAGTGACAACATAAACATCTTTCGTACATGGGGGGCACAAACAAACCAGTAGTAAGAAAAACACTAAAACCCATACTAAAAAGGTGGTAAAAACTTAAAACTATTGATTTTCCAAAGAAGAAATATTAGTGGTAAATAAACATTTAAAGTGTTCAGGCCAAATCCTATCTTCATCCACCGCCCCCCACTTTTTTTTACCTAGCAGATTTAAAGAGTTTTTTTTTTTTCCAGTGCTAGTACTCTGCTTGGTAAGTGCATTGTGGTGGACATGCAAATTGATGCAACCATTCTGAAAGCAAGTTGGCATCAGTACCAAGAGGTTACTCTTGGCCCAGCAATCCTACTTCTAAGAGTTCAGTCATACAGAGGCAGATAGGGAATTATGAACCAAAGAAATTTATCACAGTCTTATTTCTAATAACGGGAAGAAGGAAATAAATGAGCAATGGACAAACGACTGAGTAGATATTGTACTATTTAAAACAATGCATGAAGAATTTTAACAAGACAAAACACTTAAGACAGGTTAAATGAAAAACACAGGCAATCTGATCTCCACAAACTACAAAATGGTTTATAGAACAAACACATGGAGATCCCCCAAGCTGCTAACAGAGTCTGTCTTAGCACGGTGGAATTATGAGTGATTGCTTTCCTTCTTTAAACTGTTCTCTATTCTTTAAAATTCCTTTGATGAGCATGGATTAATTCCAAAATCTGGAGAAAAAAGTGTTTAAAGCAATGCCATTTGACAAGATGTTATATGGCCATTAAAATAATCATTTTGAAGAATGTGACAAAACATAAAAACATACTCCAATATTATAGCAAGATAAGAAAAGCAGAGCTCAAAACTATCTCCTGCTAATATCACACTTATGTGAAATTATACCATTCAAGATAATTATGAAGGATACAGCTGAAAATGGGGATATAAAAAGTAAATTAAAATAACAAGATATTTTGATGTAGTGAGTGCAAATAGGAAAATAAACATAATTCAAAATTAAAGTGATTCACCATTTAAAAAAAACTCTTTGGCTATTGTGTCAATAGTAAATTATGAATCTATCACTGAATTCCTCAGAGAGTAAGAAAAGCAACTGGAGTGCTAGACGGATATTGTTAAAGTGTTGGGCTACATAATACATCACACTGTTGCTGCAGAGTAGAATCGGCCTTGCAAGTCAAATCAGTCCAAAGAAGTTGTTCACTGGAGTTCACAGTCAAAAACTTTTCCACCTGCTCTGCCTGACTTAAAGGATTTAACAAATAAATGTTGTTTCATTAAGAATTATAGATCTGATTAGGAAAGCCTCAAACCACAGTTTTAAACAGCCATTGTCACTTTTAGATAGGTTTTCAAACCTTCAGGCTACACCCTGATAAAAGAAAATCATAAAATCTTGCCATTTATCTAATAAAGACCAGGTACTAACAATATATTTTCCAGTGTAGTCTCTTGTGCTTGAGAAACTCATCAAGAAATAACATCAGTTCCTCAAAAAAACGTCCTTTGAGCACAACATCTATTTGCTAAGGAGATCACCAATTATACAAACACCTAACAATCTAACTTCAAAACCACAGATCACATGACCAACATTCTTTCTACCTTTTAGGGACCTACTGATCTGGGTCTAGGATTGAAATCCTGGAATCTAGAAACATAATTTTGCTTGAACTACTGACAAGCTGGTTGGGATGTATAAAATACACCATCAAGTTTCCCTGGGGCCTTTCATTGTTGCTATGTATGCAACTTTGTATGCTTGTCACTTAATAACGCCAGCAGAGTTTAGAAGCAAGCCCACACTCAGTCTTTTGTCAACCAAGGATGAAATAGCCAATGTCTGAGAGTTTTAAACAAACATTTCAGACCTGATATTCTGTCTGACAAAGAAGCAGAAATGCCAGTAGCTGTATTTCTTCCTCTCTTCCTCACTGCACAGACTTCCTTGTGTCTGCATGGGGCACTTGCCTTAATTAATAGTAAGCAGGGGCAACAGAGAAAGGAGGTCCCACTTCCAAGACTGGTGAAGCACGCATGCCTGACAAGATGTCATATGATGCTATTTTGGAGGGAAAAATAAAAAGAAACAAGCAAAAAGACAAAGCTTTAAAAAAAAAAAAGCACCAGGAGGCAGCAGATTTGAGCTTCTGCATTTTAATTAGAAATCTAGCAAAACATAGGCAATCACTGAGAGTGGAAATATTTTTAAAACAATTAAGTCTACATTTTTAAAGAAAGCACAGTTTCCTGGAGGAACTTCTTGGGAAACAGCATCAATGCTCAAGGCATTAGCTGTTGGTTTTTCAAGCTACTGATAATCACTTCCACAACTCAATCTTAATCACAGGCACTCCCAGGAGCTCTTCAGCCATGCATACCTAGAAACAACCAGAGTCTAAACACAGTTCATGAAATTCAAGTACACTGAAATTTCCCAAGCTACTGAACTAGTGTGAAACTCTACTTACTTAGTCTGAAACAAACCAAACGCCCAGAGTAGTAAGCTGTGCCCTACGATGGACATCACCCCACTCCTCAATACAGTGGGACAAATGAAACAGGATGCCATCAAAATCATAAGATTAGTACCATTTTCAAAGACAATAAAAAATTTCCACTAGGAAGCTTCCATTTTCCCTAGCATAATTTATTATTAGGATCCATTATTATATTTTGCCCTACAGCTTCCCTAAATTCCCCATTCAGAAGCTTAAGCAATTGCAACTTTCCTGGTTAAGGAGGTTCCTTTCAAGTCCCTACTCACTCTTGCCTTATATTTGAGAGAGAAAGTCCCCCAAACTGTGATACTACCCTAAAGGAAGGGGCAACTAGGAAGTTTTCTTCTGATGTTGCAAAAGAGAAATCAACCCCAGCTGCCCAAAGACCCCACGCAAGCTGCGCCCACATTCAAGGTGCAGCCAGATGCCGAAATCTAAGAGGTTAAAGAAGGCTTCTGGAATCCCATCTGGTACACCAATTCAGCCCACAACGATTGAGCACCACCAGCGAGCTCTCTAGACACAAGCTTTATTTAGTCCCAAGACTTGGTCGGGAAGAAAACTTCCCACAATGCGAGGAAATTGCTTTGGGAGGCATTAGTGCGCCGTTGCCATTATCAGAAAGTTGTTCACTTTCGCCTATCTTTCTGCCCCTTCTATTTGCGGGCAGCCTTCCTCTCTGGACATCAGGCCTCAGGAGCCCCCAAGAAATCTTCCCTCTTCCACTGGGTGGCCCTTCAAATACTTCCAGGCAACTGTCACTCACGGCCGAGTCACCTCTCCGCGCTTTCTCAACCACATGTGACATTCAAAGGACTAGATTTCTATTCTCTTCCCGTTCCTGGCCACCCTCTCGAACTGCGCTCTTGTCAATGAAAGAAGGCAGCCCACACGTGGGTCTGTGCGAATCCGAACCCAGGGCCTCTGACAGCCCGGCGCCGGAGCCTCGGGTCGCCGCCGGCGCTAGTCTCGGGCGCTGTCCTTGCCGGAGCCCTAGCCGGGAAGCCCCAACGCGAAGCAGAGCAGCCGTCCGATCCCGGACGCTAGGCGCGCCCCCCACGCGGGCCTCTTACCTGGCGCTTGTTCATCTTTCTCAGGTCCCCGAAGATGTCCAAGCCGGACGCGGGGAGATGCGTCCCCACGGCGCCCGCACGCACCATGGCGGGATCTGTGGGGGCCGTGGGAGCCCGCGGGCTCCGGGTGTCACAGCTGCGGAGCACCAGCCCGGCCCCCTCCCACCAACCCCGGTCTTGCAGGCCATGTGACCAGTGACTCGCTCAGGCTTCTGGGAATCGTAGTCCTGCGAGTCTTGGCCACTAGTCCACCTGGAAGGAACCTGGAGGAAAATAAAACTACCACTCCCACAATGCCGCGGGGCGCGAGTCTCGTCCAGTGAAGACCCAGGGCTCCTGGGGAGGGCAGCGACGGGGCTCAGGAGCCTTGGCCGAGCTTTCCGAGCGAACATGGGAGGGCGGGTGATCCAGCACATCGCAGAGGCAACTCAAGGAAATGGCTATTCAAGGAACTCAATTGTCCAAGGCTCTGGTCAGGCGCCAAGAGGACACCTAAAGCCTCTTCGCGTTCACCTAGCCGTGTATCTTGGCCATTGGATGACTGCGCCGAAGGCGGGGCTTCTGCACTGGCGGCCGCGCTGAATCGGGGAGGAGCCTAACGAACGGCTCGGCAGGTGTGCGGGGCTTGGAAGAGGCGGGACTTTTGAAGCCTCAGAGTTTTGCCGTCTGCAAGAGTAGGAGGGTTTGAATGCAAGAAATCATCTTTGCATCCTCTTGACCGTAGTTGTCTCGCAATGAATATTAATTGAATGAATAAATAACGACCTAATTTTATACACGAGGAAACAGAGGTCCGGAAAGGTTAAATGACATGGTCAAGATTAAATGGAAGAGTCTGGAAAAGAACTCAAATTTTACAATTCCCGAATGCTGGATTACTGGAGTCTTGATCCTAGTTATCTTTAGATCACTCATTCACTCATTTATGCACTATTTATTTCATTCACTTATTCACAGATCTTTTTGGAAGATCTACTATGCACTTGTCCCTATTCTAGGCACTTGAGAAACCTCAGGGACAAGACAAGCAAAGATCCCTGCCCTCATGAAGTTTATATACTAGCAGAGGGAGAAATAATAAGTCAATTATACAGTACTAGAGGGTGGTAGTGCAATGGAAATGAAAAGCATATAAGAGGGTTGAGGTGCTCTGGGAGAAGGGAGCAGCTTGCAATTTAGGATATCCCAGACGCTGATTCACTACGAAGCTAATGAAAGGTAAACTTTGGCAACTTTCACTTGCAAAAGCCCCTTCCAGAGCCTTGGAGAAAAATGGTGACATGGCATTTAAAAAATTTCAAAAGCAAGATGTTCGAATTGCCAGTGGATGAGTCCTGTTCCTTTACATTCCAACTCCCCCTCCACCATACTCCCATTCGCGTTAAAGGCACAAAGAGCATTTCCAGGATCAAGCCAAGGAGTAGTTGAGTTGGAGATACATTTCATGTGGGCTTAGTGGATATATTTATGGTCATCCTGGTGTAGGAATGGCTACTAGAAATACTGCCACTCAGTGTACCAACTCACCTGACATCATGGCAGGAAGTTGCGCTAGAGGGGGTATCCTGATAATGAGGGTGTCCTGCCCCATCTAGCCTTGGAAGTATGTGGGTAATAGAGGAGAAACAAGGTGTGAAATCTACGGAGCAGAAGCTAGTCTGTGTAATTCTTCCAAACATTAGATGCATGAAACTGTAAGTTGCATTTCTCATCAGTCCATCAGGAAGAAACAATGATAGTTAAAATCTAGCACCAATAGTTGCTTGAACTAAGGTGGTAGCCGTGAAGGTGTTTAGATATGCTCAGATTTGGTTATATCTTGAATATATTTGATATATTTTGAAGGTAGAACCCTCA